CGGCGCGGACGACCGGGGACGGCCAGCAAGGGAGGTCCGCCTGGGAAGATTCTCGGGGCCGCAAGGCGCCCCGTAGCCAGTCGCCATGCACGTCCTTGCGCGCGAAGGACCGCTAGCCCGCTAATTGGTCGCGGCAACGCGCGACGCGGCTGCACAACTCCGTAGGGGGGAAAAGCTCGCGAATTGATTGCGCATCGATCGCGATCCTGCTCGTCCTCTTCCGCTTCAAGCTGCTCGATCGAACGGATGTCCCGGCCCGGCGAAGTTTGGAAAAGGACGAGCGAGAGGCCCCGAGAGGAAGGATCGTCGGAGGATCTGGCTATTGGTGAGGTTGCCCCTTGGGCGGATATCGTGTACTGTAAAGTCGCATGCAACGGGGCGGAGGGTCGCTCTCGCGTTCTGTCGTCGGGACGTGAATTTCGCGTTGGTGCGGTGGCCGCTATAAGCGGCGCCTTCTTGGTGTTACGGGTACGGCATGGCCGGCGCCAAGCGTGAGAGACTCCCTGGCCCGCGTGCACGGGGCTATCGGGGATAAAGTCGAGTCGCGAAGACGAGTCTCCTAGGTTGCGTTCATAATGTTTTCTCCGAGTAGAGTTAGAGTAGAGTTGAGTTAGGTACGAGTTAACTCTAAATTTATATGACTTTATGAACGACCGGAGTATCAGTTGAGTTCGTTGGTTCGTTGATTTGACGGTAGTTATAACCTAAAAAGTTAAAACTTAAATTAAGAAAAAAGAAACTTTATAATAGCAGAAAACGTAAAGAAAGTAATTTCTTTCACTATATTTTCTTTTGTAAGAAACTTGATGTTGAATATTGAGGTAAGTATTATATAATGGTATAATGTGTGTGCTTAATATATCATAATGTTTTTTTGTTTATAAGTAGAAAAATTAAACAAGCCATTATTATTAACAAAAACATTTTGTAAAATATCTTTATATTATTTCGTCTTAATATCTTAATACATATATCTGAAAACATTGTTTATATTATATTTATGTATTCTATATTGTATGTATTATTAGGAAGAATCTGATAATGAAGACTTCGAAATGTTACTAACTACGATACATTTGAAAGAAAAGCCTAATCATATTGTTGGATATATGGAAAACATAGCAAATTTTACAAATACAGAGTTTCAACGACATTTTGGATTATCCCTTGAAGCATTCAAGAATTTACTAGAACAAGTTGGTCCGTTATTAAAGTCTCCTGGAAATGAAATTAAACAACCTGGTCGTCCACTGATAGATGCACGAAAGCAATTATTTTCAGTCATTTGGATATTGGCTACACCTGACTTGTACAGGTATTCTTTTATATTCGAACAAATTCGGACTAGGGGATATATTACTTATCTTTAATGCAATGAGAACGCGCAATCCAATATATAACTAATTCCGAGTTTGTCGGATTGATGTGGTAATTAGTCCTTGGACTGTTCACTTTTCGCATTTTCACTATGTTAAAGATAGGTAATAGATCCTAAGTATATGATTGTATTTCATGAGGCTCTATCATCCAGAATTATCTGCTTACATGAGCAAATGTGAATTAAAAGATTAGATCTTAAATATTATCTGATTTTGTGAGATTTCATTACAACAATGTTTTATAACTTATCCGAAATATTTTTAGCATGTATTCGAATTATTGGTTTATTTATCAATAATTATTGAAATTTTTTAAAGGTATAAATCATTGAGGATAAATACTTATTTTTTAAGGAATTTGCTTATCATTCTTAGAATTAAAAATTATTACAAATGGAAATGTTAAAGTATATAAGTTGTAATGTCTTAATAATTTTTTAGATCTGTCGGTGAAAGGTTTGACATGACAAAGTCATCGCTATCGACATGTTTTGTACGAGTAATTAATGGTCTTTGCACAATTGCACCTCAAATAATAAAATGGCCACAAGGAATAGAAATTGACGCAATTACAGAAAAATTTGAAAAAATCTCGAATATTTCTAAAAAATAACATAGCATCCGGCTAATTTAAATCTTACATTCTAGTTAATAACAACTTTCCTAGTCAGGATTGTTAAACCATAGATAAGTTTAGGTTTAAGTAACCTATA